AACAATAAGAGGTTTAGCAGGAACACAAAATCTGGCAATATACCATTAGTGAAGATAGAATGCATAATCATTGAGGACGATGATAGATCCTAGTGAATTTGTTTGGAGTACAGTGAATAAATGTTGGCAGTAAAAAACAGGCTAAAAACCTATAAGGGCCAAGCCAAAAAGGATTTTGTATATCACATCAAGGAGTTTGTAATTTATTTGATTAGACCATAGAGAGGTAATTAAGGACATAAAAGGGAATACCATGACCAGGTTTGCATTTTGACAAGTTCATTCAGCTGGCCTTAAGGTGAGCGGACAAAAGAAGGAAGAAATTATAGGCAGATGGACAAATTAAGAGGTTACTAAAGTAATTCAAACAAGAAAAATATAGGTCTAAAATAGGACTGGAGTAGATGAGATAAATATGAAAGATGCTGAGAAGATATAATCAAAAGGACTTAAGAATATGCTACAAATATGTAATAGGAGAGAGGAAAGACTCAGAAATATGCCTCAAAATTTTTGGTTGGGCAAATGGATAGATAGTGGTGAATTAATGGAAATATGGAATAATATAAAAGGGGCTACAAGTCTTAGGGAAATAATGAATTCTGTTTTAGACATGTGGAATTTGAGGTGCTTACAGACACAGAACTGCCCAGCAAGCAGACTGAAATATGAATCTGGAGGTTAGTGAGCATTTAGGTTGGATCTAGAGATAGAGATTTGGTTATCAATTAGATCACCCAAGGACAGTATAAAGAACAGCAATTTTCAGTGTGTGCATGTGTGCATGACAAAAGAGGTAGCTGAGACTCACTGCCTTTGCCCATTAGGGAACCACTGTGGGTCCTCCTCAGATGTGTTGAGACAAAATTTTATAAAAGGTTAAGAATCACAGATTTGGCTGGGCGCAGTGGCTCACGCCTGTAATCCCAGCACTTTGGGAGGCTGAGGCGGGCAGATCACGAGGTCAGGAGATCAAGACCATCCTGGCCAACATGGTGAAACCTCATCTCTACTAAAAATTAAAAAAAAAATTAGCCCAGCGTGGTGGCACGCGCCTGTAATCCCAGCTACTCAGGAGGCTGAGGCAGGAGAATCACTTGAATCTGGGAGACAGAGGTTGCAGTGAGCCAAGACTGTGCCATTGCACTCCAGCCTGGGTGACAGAGGAGACTTGGTCTCCAAAAAACAAAACCAAACAAACAAAAAAAGATTAAGAATCACAGATTTGGGAGACAAGTGAAGGGGAAAAAAAAAAAAACTCTCAAAGGAGATTTAAAAAAAAAAAGCAATAAGAGAAGTGGGGAAAAGCAGGAGAAAGTGATAACAAAGGAGTAAAAGTGAGAACAAGTACTTACTATTTATGTCTAATACACTATGCCTCCCTGAAATAAAAAGAACACAGGACATGGCTTCTGCTATCTGACTGAGTTTGCAATTACACTGTTGAAAAAAGACTGACATAAGACAACGAGAGGGAGAAAAAAGAAAAAGGGAGGGAGGTGAGTCAACAGTGTATCAAGTAAAATTGGTTTATTTCATAACTGCTAATAAATTTTTACTGAGCAGCCTCCAAACTCATTAAATAGTCTGAATATAAGAAATACATTATTACATGAGTAGAACAGCCAGTTTTTGGGTTTTTTTGTTTTGTTTTTTTTTGAGACGGAGTCTCGCTCTTTTGCCAGGCTGGAGTGCAGTGGCGCGATCTCGGCTCACTGCAAGCTCTGCCTCCGGAGTTCACGCCGTTCTCCTGCCTCAGCCTCCGGAGTAGCTAGGACTACAGGCACTCGCCACTACGCCTGGCTAATTTTTTGTATTTTTAGTAGAGATGGCGTTTCACCATGTTGGCCAGGATGGTCTCGATCTCTTGACCTCGTGATTCGCCCACCTCGGCCTCCCAAAGTGCTGGGATTACAGGCGTGAGGCACCGTGCCCGGCCAATAGCCAGTTTTTTAAGAGTACAAAGTAATGCCAATCTTTTACAAATATTTTATAAATTATAGCATCTAATTGTTCATGTGCAGTTAATTCAACTCAATACATGCAATAAGAGCTATCTAATTTTCAAGTAAACTCATCAAGTGCTGAATTTAAAATAACCAGGCTTATGAATATTCTATCTAATAATTAGATTTCTCCTTATTGAACGTGTATCCATTTAGTTTAGAACATATAATGTCTAAGGTCCCTTAAATGATTAGACTCCCCATCATCTTTACCAAGATCTAGTTTATCTTGACTATTCAGTTCAAGAGAAAATGTTCCTAATTTAATACAAAGTAAATGAGGAACAATATAAAACTGTATAATTATAGCCTATTTTTAAAGGACAAAGATAGATACAAAAAACAGATTTTATTAAATGTTAATAGACGGACAACAGATTTTCATGTTCTTACTTCCACCTTCTAAAACATTCTCCACAATGAACACATATTACTTTTATAATGAGAAACAAAAATCTAATAAAATATTTTCTCAATTAGATTTCCAAAGAGGTAGAAAGCAGCTGGAGATTTAGAGTATCAATTATTTATATGAATATCTGTTGGAAGCACTTACATGTTTTCATTTGTAAGGGTTTCATGTCTCTTATCTCAACATAAACTCAGAAAAGGCAATTATGTTTATTTTTTCTGTAAGTCTCCACAATCCAAATTCCTACACTCTGCAAAGGGGCATTGTATCTTCAGGGCCTAATCCAAAAAATATTTGTAAAAATAAATCCTCTGAAACTAATTTGTTAGGTCAACAACTTTTTCCTACCTCCCTATGCTAATGTTTATTATGGTTGAACCCAGCAAATCAGTAAATACTGTCCTAACTTAAAACACACACACACACACACACACACACACACACACATTGTGCTTTGATATGTACTTTTACATACAGGTTTTAATTTAATGTCATTTTATTTAAGTAAACCATAATTCTTAGGATTTGAAAATATTACTGGTAATATTTCTTCGAAAAGTTCTAAGTCAAAAAATAAGTGATTTTGAAAGGGTTTCAACATTCTTATAATGTTTATTGTATTTATAAGGATAAAAGTATACTATAGTTATTTTCGTTGAACTTTAACCATTTCTATCCACCTGTCTATCAATCAATCAATCAATCAATCAATCAACACAGGTTCTCACCATGTTGCCTAGACTAGCTTCAAACTCCTGGGTTCATGCAATCCTCCCACCTCAGCCTTCCGAGTAGCAGGTGTGTGCCACCACACCCTTTTCTCTTTAGAATGGTTGATGGTAAACTTAGTAAACACAGAGTTCAGAAACTGGGTAATGGGCACTCAGATTAGTTGCTACAAATCCACTTTCTAGGCCTTTACATTTTTTTCCCCCACAGGTTGAGCAGACTTCATAGTCAGAATTAATTGCGGGACTTCGCTGATTAGTCAGGCTGCCCAAGGGGGAATGAGCCATTGGACAATGATAAATATCTAAAGCTTGCCAAGTTCAGTACCAAAATTTATTTCGACTAGTTTTTTTTTTTTTTTTTTTGGAGACGGAGTCTCGCTCTGTAGCCCAGGCTGGAGTGCAGTGGCCGGATCTCAGCTCACTGCAAGCTCCGCCTCCTGGGTTTACTCCATTCTCCTCTCAGCCTCCCGAGTAGCTGGGACTAGAGACGCCCGCCACCTTGCCCGGCTAGTTTTTTTGTATTTTTTAGTAGAGACGGGGTTTCACCGTGTTAACCAGGATGGTCTTGATCTCCTGACCTCGTGATCCGCCCGTCTCGGCCTCCCAAAGTGCTGGGATTACAGGCTTGAGCCACCGCGCCCGGCCGACTAGTTTTAAAAGAAAGATTTCTAAAGTGTTTAAACTGCTTTCCTTCCTTTTAGACAGAGTATATTCAACACAATTTAACCTTTAGGATGACTTAAGGATAGCATCATAGCATTTTAATTATGCACAATGATACTTAGGGACCCAGTGTGATATTGTATTGTTTACCCCTTCACTGGAAAGTTCCAGACCATCCTAGACTCTGTTTTCTGTTTTTTCATCTCTTGCTACCTCTTTCCTTGCTGTCTACCTACTTGTTTCTAGCAGAAGACTCCTTTCTAATTGGTTTCCCAACCTATAGCAAATAAACAACAAAGCAATCAAGTTTCATTCATTAAACATTCAGAGATGAAAAATACAATCCCAGGCAGTCCCTGAAACATTCACAACTTAATTATGCTACATAGGATGCTATGGGAATCCAGAGGAGAAGCATCTGACCCAGAGTCTGGGGATTTCAATGGTGACTTCCTGGAGGAGCTAGTTCTTAAACTGAGACATGAAGGATGAATGAATAGCATTTCACAAGCAAAAGAAAGTGAGAGAATGGGTAGAAGAAAAGATCAAGTGCACAGACAGAAGAAATAGCATGGTAAAAATAAAAATAATGATATCTCACATTTATTAAAAACTTCTGTGAATTAACTTACTAAATCCACATACCAATGCTATGAAGCACAATTATTCCTATTTTACAGATGAGGAAACTGTGGCACAGAAAAAACTGTTTCATCCAAGGTCCATACCTAGTTAAGTGGCAAAGTCAAGATTTGGCAGTCTGGCTCTAAAGCTCACACTCTAAATCATCACACTATATAGCTTATCTATGCAAAATTATGAAAGCAAGAGAGAATCCAGTGTTTGAGCAATCTATTATGAGTGATTTACTAAAGCTGGAAGGCTGTATAGTGCCTAAATATTGCAGAAGATGAGGCAGAAAAAAGACCTGAGGAGCCTTGTATGCCAGGTACAGGTGTTTAGATTTTATCCTGTAGGTAATAAAAGCCATCCAGCAGAGGAGTAGCAAGACCACACTGCCTTTGATAAAGTTTTTTATGAAGAATGGATAGAAACAACCAAACGCTCAAAGTACAGGGAGGAGACTATTCCAGAGCTCTATGTGAGATGATAAAGACCTGAATCAAAGCAATAGAAGTGGTTCCTTTTTTATTTTTATTTTTCTGAGACGGAGTCTCACTCTGTTACCTGGGCTGGGCTGGAGTGCAACGGCATGATCTCGGTTCACTGCAACGTCCGCCTTCTGGGTTCAAGTGATTCTCCTGCCTCAGCCTCCCGAGTAGCTGGGATTACAGGTGCACGCCACCACACCTGGCTAATTTTTGTGTTTTTTTAGTAAAGACAGGGTTTCGCCATGTTGGCCAGGCTGGTCTCGAACTCCTGTCACCAGGTGATCCGCCCGCCTTTGCTTCCCAAAGTACTGAGATTACAGGCATGAGCCTGGCCATAGAAGTGGTTCTATTTAGGTATTTCCTGCTACTAATCCTATGGAAAGGAAGAGAAAAACTAGAGAAAATCAGGATGTCAAATTCGTAGAACTTATGACCAGACAAGGAAAACTCGTGATAGGGAAAAATGAAATAAAGTTGTAACCAAGGTAGAAAACAGATTTTGAAAGCAGTGGAGGTGGTATAAAAGATTTATTTTAGACATAATTGAGGGGCTTGTGAAATGACATTTTAAAAAAAAACAGCTAAAATTTATATTGAGCTTGCTACATGTGAGGCACTGGTCAAAGAAGTTTACATGCATTGATCCACTGAATCATGAAGGCAACACTATGACATATTAACTTCTTTTTACATGAGGCATCTGAGAAGTTAAGTAACTTGCCCAGGGTCATGCAGCTATCAAGGGGCTGAGCTGGGATCTGAACCCAGGTATCCTGATTTGGAGTGTATTGTCTTTAATAGAGACATGCCAATTTTATAGATGAGTTTGACATTCAAGAATTGTTTAAAGTAAGGATTTGGCCCCAGCTAGCTCAGCCGGTAGGTAATAATAATAATAATAAAAACAAAGATAAGGGTTTGGAAGTCATCAATATACATAGATGGCAGTTGAAGCCATGAGTATTGAGTTAGATATAGAGTATGCAGTCTAAGTGTGGTCCTTCAACCACTTAGGTAAGAATACCCTGAGGATTTTTATTTTTAATAAACATGCAGATTCCTGGGCCTCACCAAAGTCCATGGAAACAAAAACTCTAGGGATAAGACCCATAAATATATCGTTTTGATAACTACCCAACTGATCCTTATATAAAGTTCAAAGATCACTAAAGGAATGAGCAAAGAAATGTGTAACAATGACATTGAGTTTACTAGAAGTGTGTCTACAATAAGAGTAAGCAAATTCTGAAGAAGGATGTTAGTAGGGGCCTGGGCAAGTGTCTGATGAGTCTCTTTTTTTTTTTTTTTTTTTTTTTTTTGAGACAAAGTCTCACCCTGTTGCCCAGGCTGGAGTGCAATGGCACAATCTTGGCTCACTGCAACCTACACCTCCCAGGTTGGGTTCAAGCGATTCTCCTGCCTCAGCCTCCCAAGTAGCTGAGATTACAGGCGCACATGACCATGCCTGGCTAATTTTTTGTATCTTTAGTAGAGATGGGGCTTCACTATTTTGGCCAGGCTGGTCTTGAACCCCTGACCTCGTAATCCTCCCACCTTGGCCTCCCAAAGTACTGGGATTACAGCCATGAGCCACAGAGCCTGGCCCTCTGATGAGTCTTTGATCAAATCTAAGCCACAATAAATTATAAGATGTATTATTTTTTCATGCACCACCACCACCAAAACAACAACATACCCCAAACAAGAGGCCTCCCATGTAAAGCTAGAACAACAAAAGGGGTACAAATGCAATATAAACAAATGAAAAATAAACCTAGCATTCAGAATGAGACAGCAAGGAAACCTGAAAGTCTCTATCTGTACACAAGATAGAAGCAATTTTATCTAAAAGCCAGTACTCACCTAGCTTTGCAGTCTGAATTCATATTACCAGTAGAGTCAAAAACAAAACACAGCAAAACCAACAAAGACAAAACAAAACAAAAAAAATCTTTCAGGCAGAGAATTTAACTTAAAGTGGTCTCAGATTGGTAGTAGTGCAAATAACTGGCAGAGTGAAATGCAAATCCTTTCTGAAGTAATCTGACTTCGATTGAGGCTAATAATGATTACAAGACATTTCCTTATCTTAGACATTTTTTAATTTCTAAAATTTCTAAAAATATATGTCTTAAAGCCACTGAAATACAGTAGATGGAAAGCATACCAAGCTATATTCTGAATGATCAGAATCTTTGACGGTGGGGTTATTTTTGGGTTCTCAGATGTACTTTATAATTTCATACAGGTGTTGATTTGTTTTTAAAATAACTATAATGATGGGTGCAGCACACCAACATGGCACAAGTATACATATGTAACAAACCTGCACGTTGTGCACATGTACCCTACAACTTAAAGTATAATAATAATAAATAAATTTAAAAAAAAACCTATAAAACAAAGACACTATTAACAATTATAAAATTGTTTCCCTTTCCATCACATTTAACCATATTTATAATTCCCCTAAATATAAAAAGTCTCATCCATTTTAAAACAAGAACCCCAAAGAGTGAGATCAGACCACTAATACCTGTACCCTAGAGTCTACGTAAATGCTCCCACACTCTGGGATTTTGATAATGAAACTGCAAAATGCACCACAGGCCCTGGTAACTGTCCAGACATAACAAGACAAACAGCAAACTTTGTTCCTGCCAAGGATGATGATTTACAGTCCTACTCTGACATTTGGTATTCCCTCTTTTGCTCACAGGCCACAAACACTAACTATTTTCATGATATCCAGAGTATCCTGGCTCTTTTTAAGAAAAATTAATCCCTTCTCAACAATGCCACAGTGAAAAAAAATTATTTTAGAACTTCTGTAATTTTCCAGAAAAGCAGTCTTTTCCTAATTCAAACATACATTTCCCATGTATTCCAAGAGTAGTACAAACACTGCACAAATTACACACCGTAGTTGCTCTAGGGTCTTTTAAAACTGCAAATTTCATTGTACTGCTGTACAATGAAATTGTACAGCAGTGCTTGCTAGCACATCATCCAAATGAGTTGCTAGATGACTAAAATTGCTTTAGAGTGAAAATAAACACCAACTGATCACTGTGCGGAGTATCATAATCCAAAAGTGTGACTTACAAATAAACCAGTTATACAACCAACCACTGCTAACTTCCCTGTTTTTAGTGGGTGAAGGTCCTTAGAGTCCTTCTCACAACACAGTCCTGTCTAGAGCAATTGATATAAAAATTCTAATCTGACACTTATCCTTGCCACACCCCACTAGAGCACCTCTTTCACTCAGGAAAACTATTCTACCCCCAGAGCAAATGTTTGCCTATGAGTGAGTGACTGAGTGAGAGTGTGTGTATGTGTGTGTCTGTCTGTCTGTGTAAGTATAGGAATTTTCTAAGATTGTAGAAAGTGAAGTAACAGTTTCCACATCCGCATCTATAATTGAAGATTCACTTTCCCATAGAAACAAGGGAATAATGGTTTCATAGTGACACTACATTTCCAACCATTTTATAACAATATTGTTTCTATGTGGAACTGTGTAAAATCCACTGAATATGAATGTCAACCTACTTAGCAATTCTTCAGATGATATCTGTTAGTATAATTTGTGTGCTATAAATATTTAAAACACTTTAAGAGTAGCCCATAATCCCATTATACAGAACCCCCATTAACACATTTTTTAATATCCAGAGGTAACAAAACTTAAACAGTACAGAAAGTCACAAAATGAAAACTCAAAATTTTTCTAATCCTGGACTGCTGATTCCCAACTACACCCACTACTTTCCCCTCCCTGGAGATAATCACCATCAACGGTTCTTGAGAACAGAAAGAAAACAATTATTTATAGACCTAACCACTTTTCTTTTGGAAAAGAATATCATACGCATCAATTGGTGGGCAATGCAGAAAAAGGTTCATCAGATTCTAGAATATGGCAATCTTGTTAATGTCTAGAAATACTACCTTCATATGAATTTTTGTTTGAATAATGCATTTTCATGTTTTCATATACCTATAACCTAGATTATTTGATAATGAAGTATAGCATAGTGGTTAAGAGGTAGGCTCTGCAGCAAACCTCCTTGGGGATAAATCCTGTGTGATCTGCAGAAGGTTTCTTAAATGTTCCTCCTATCTATAAAATGGGAATAATATGACTACCTATTTAAGATAATTATACGTAATGAATCAACATGAGAGCTCAACTAGAATAGAGCTTAGTGTGCAGTAAGCACTCAATAAATGCTGGCTATTATTGATATCCAGAAATCTTTATATGTTGGATATTTCATCCAAATTTTTGTCAGTAAAATCACTGATGTGCATAATGATACTGAGAAACGACAAAATCAAAAAATCTCTTTTGAACTATCAAAACCTACATTATATACAGTGTTTCTTAACATCATACTATAATCCTAATGTCTCCAATAGGCAATCTATAAACAGTATATGACTTTTCAAGTGAAAAGTCAGTATATCACTTTTCAAGTGAAATGCTTGATTCCCCACATAACCTACTTATAACTTTATACTGCTCCTGCACAAATTTAATTTTTACACTTAATGCCTTCTGTAGGCCCAGCCCTTCTTTTTTTTTTCTTCAAATATGGCAGGTTTTTTTTTTTCCCCCAAACATGGCAGCTTTTTTTTTAAATTATACTTTAAGTTCTAGGGTACATGTGCATGATGTGCAGGTTTGTTACATATGTATACATGTGCCATGTTGGTGTGCTGCACCCATTAACTCGTCATTTACATTAGGTATATCTCCTAATGCTATCCCTCCCCCCTCCCCCCTCCCCACAATAGGACCCAGTGTGTGATATTCCCCTTCCTGTGTCCAAGTGATCTCATTGTTCAATTCCCACCTATGAGTGACAACATGCGGTATTTGGTTTTCTGTTCTTGCAATACTTTGCTCAGAATGATGGTTTCCAGCTGCATCCATGTCCCTACAAAGGACATGAACTCATCCTTTTTTATGGCTGCATAGTATTCCATGGTGTATATGTGCCACATTTTCTTAATCCAGTCTATCACTGATGGACATTTGGGTTAATTCCAAGTCTTTGATATTGTGAATAGTGCTGCAATAAACATAAGTGTGCATGTGTCTTTATAGCAGCATGACTTACAATCCTT